TCGCCTACATCGTCCATATAGGACGACTCGGGAACTCAACTCCTACCCCGGGCAGCTCACCTATCCCCTTATGCCCAGGGGAAAGGTATCAAGCCGTTTGACAGCTGATGCTGGCTGTCAAACCGGCTTTTACGCAAAACAGGCGGGAGGCAGCAAACAGCTGCGACCAGCGAAATCGCCTGCCACCGGAAGTCCCTCACTTTTCATCATTTTCTTGAAGTTTTACATACATGAGCCATCACTGCTGCATGGAGGACTCTCTGTCAGTGGGTAGCAACCTGCCCCTTGTTTTTTTACATAGGCAGCTTTAGTAATCTCTCAACATACCTTCAGCCGAAGGGACCTTTTAATAAGCAAAAGATTAATTCATCAATCAAATCCTAAGCAATCTCACACTTTATTAGATTTTATATATCTTTATTGCTAGGGTGGAAAAACTATGGTTTATCCAGACTTTTTCTTTCTTATCAATAATGTTGGTGTTATGCGGAGAAGGTGCTTGTCCCTTTGAACTCTAAAGTCACTTTAGAGATTTTAGCTTATTCAAGAACACTTCACCTTATTTATATTCTGTTACTTATTATTGTATTATTGTTTGAGAAGCCAGTGTGTTTGCAGTGATTTAAGTTTGAGAGCCCCAGGCATTCAGGTGTTAAGAGTATCTATCTGGGGAGCTCTGATAAGGCATTCACTTCATCTAGTTGTAAACAACTCCCTGCTGGGCAGAAAAGTAGGGAGGGAAGGTATAAGAAGACTGATAGGTATGAATGATTTGGCCCAGAGCTGATGCCTGCATTTTGAAAAATTTTGAAATGTGTGTAGGAGAGCTCCCTAAATGACTTGTTTGTTGGGAAACCAACTGGTACAGGGAGAAGTATATGAAGTTCAGTTTCACTTACCTTATCAAACAGAAAGCTTAAACAGATTAGAATTGTACATAAAGCATTTTCATGGAGGAAAATGATTTGAATACTAAAAATGGATTCTTTGAAGAAGTTGGAAGCTGCCAGTGGCTTAGAATGAAAGTTGAGAAACTGATTAGAGCTTTGACAACTGGAGTTGCAATTAATGATTCCACAAGCATATTCTACAAGGAGTCAATTCCTTCAGTAGAAAGCTTGCTGGACATTAATAATAATAATAATAATAATAATAATAATAATAATAA